CGAAAAAACTTCCCCTGCGTCCAGACTCAAGCCGCATTCTTTTGAAATTATTTCGAAAGAACGCGGCTTTTCTTTCGATGGCGGTAAACCTCGTTTCACGAGGAAGAACGCCTTCTTTCGAAAGTTCCTCTTTCAAAAGAAGGTGTTCTTCAATGTAAAGAGGCCGTCTTCGAAAGAGAGCATCCAGACTCGCTGGGTGCTCTCTTTCGAAAAAGCGGATTTCTCTTTCGAAAGATCCGCCTGCAGTCTAGACGCGATCTTTCGAAAGAGGCTATTTCGAAAGATGCTTTCGAAAGAGCCTCTTTCGAAAGAAGCCTGCAGTCTAGACATAGCCCCAGAGAGGACACAGGGCCCCAGCTCTGAACAGCACATTAACAGCTGGTTTTGCAGAGACCCCGGAGAAAATGTGTTGGTGGAAAAAACTCCCCTCTCCCCCACATCCGCCTGAGCTTTGTTGTTTCTGCTCGGTTCCTTCTAGCTACTGCCGGGCAGGCTGGCTGGTTGGCTCAATATCCCCAGACACAGGCAGGACCCTTCCCCCACAGATCCACTCCATGTCCCTGGGGGGAAAGGCAGATGCTGTCCTGGGTTCTTGCCCTGGTCCCTGAATTGCTCCTTGGCTCAGTCTGCATCTGCTGGACATGGGTGGGGATGCTCCTGGGGGCAGCAGTCTGTGGGGCGAGGGAAGCTGAAATTTTCCCAGCCCGACAGAGGGTGGATCCATCTTCTAGTAGGAGACTTCTGGCAGGCAGTTCGAACTAAGGGGATTTAAAAATGGCACCCGCCCGGGAACATGCAAATGAAGCCGGGGATATTTAAATCCTGTGCTTCATTTGCAAGTTCAAATGCCTACATTAGCCAACCTAGTTTGGACTAGGGGGCTAGTATAGACATACCCTGAGGGGGACATGATAGCTGTTTTCAAATACCTAAAAGGATATTATTAGGAGGAGAGAGAAAAATTGTTCTCCTTGGCATAATTCCTGTGCAATGAGTTTGCTTCTCTGGTGTGAACCGGACTCCCCAGTATTCAGCCCCTCAGACACAGCTGTGTAAATGTGGGTCTGTACTCTGCCTTGTGTGGAATACCCTCGCAAACCACACTGGCAAACAGTATCACAGGGGAGTATACATTCGAGCACCACAGGCGGAGATACGTCTGTTCTCTCTGAGTCCCTGTGGAATCCGTATTTGAACAGAGTGCAATGGGACATGCCTGGAATGGGATTGCTTCTCCTAACACCAACCAGGAAAGAGGCAGAATCACCCAATGGAGGACAGTCCTAGGAGGTTGAAGCAAGACTAGCCAGAGACATAGGGTGAGCCTGGAATGGGTTTGCTTTTCCATACACCTTGCACGAGAAGTCAAACAGCGACATGGGGCAAATGCCAAATTGAGCTACACCACATGTGTGAAATGAGGCAAAGCAGAGCCAAGACCTACAGTCTCCTGTAGCAGGAAAGTGGCACCAGGGACTGCAGGGAGGGGGTTTGGCATCTGTATCTGATTTACACTGGTACCAATGGCACTGTGGCACCAGGCCTACCTACGCTGGAAGGGGCCCGTTATGGACCCCTTTAAGCCATCCACACAGCAGGGTCTGGCCCCTCGCCTCCTACCAGGGCTGGCTATTGAGGACGGGGAGGTCCAGGTGTGGGAGAGTAGGTTGCTAGAGGACCTGGGGGGGTATGCTGGGCAGTGAGTGGGTGGGAGATGCTCAAGAGGGGAAGGTTTGTGTGTTTTGGGGTGCTGGGGAGTGGGGGGTTTGGGAGGCAGTGGGGCTGGGGAGATGGGGAGATCTACGTGTGTCGGGGCACTGGGAAGCGTGGGAGGTCTGTGCGGGGCACTGTGCAGTTGTGACGGTGAGGCTGTGGAGGGCACTGTGCAGTGAAGGGATGGGGGGGGCTCTGGGTGGGTGGGGCTGTGCTGGGCATAGTGGTCTGTTGGAGGGCACTGGACATAGGGATTTGTGGGGGTCTCTGGGTGGCACTGAGTGTAGGGGGTCAGAGGGGTGCTGGGTGCG